GAGACGTAGACAAATAGGTATATATATATATATATATATATATATATGTATGTATATATATATATATATATACACACACACACACACACACATGTAAAGAACTAATACATGTCATATAATACATCTAATAATGTTACACAACAGAGAATACATGATGCAAAATATATATATGTAAAGTTTTTTCTTCTAAAAATGGCAGGTAAAAAAGAACTTAAAGCGAAGTTCAATGAATTGAAAAAGTTCCCAACAATGAGGAGATGCAGTTTTTACTGCATGCATCTTTCTCTTCCAACAAAGGCAGCAGTCTTTCAGGGTAATCAGCAGTTGAGGAAGCTGATGCATCAATTGCTAACAGAAGCAGTCGAAAAAACAAGATGGCCTCAGGGAGAACCAGCTCCTCTTGATTCTGTCTTACGAACAGATCAAGAAGTAGTTGAAAGGTATTCTTCAGATGAAGATATACAGGAACCACCGAGGTTAGGTACATCTAGAGAAGCTACACCACCATCACATAAAAGAGGCAGGGCTAGGAAAGGGTAAAGCTGCAGTGTGAACTAGGACTGCCCCCTTCCCAGCAGATAAGGCCTCTCGCCTGCAATGATACCCGGAAGTATATCACCAAGGAGGAACAAATAAACATACCTCCATTCAACAGAGGTGAACCTGTGTCCAGACAGGTCACCTCTTTAAACTTTTATTTACTGCAGAAACATTAAATATCATTGTGAATGAAATGAACCAGTTTGCAAACCACAGACACCACCAAGAAGGTGGACCACAAAAAAAAAAGTAAAATGGACCGATATTACACAATGTGAACTCTTAGCATATTTAGGTTTAACTTTAACAATGGGACTAAAGCCTTATCCTTCTCTTTCTGACTACTGGTCTACCTATCTTTCTTTCCATAATCCTTGGTTTACTAACATCTTCTCTAGGGACAGGTTTTTAGCTATCCACACCTACTTACATTTCAATAACAATACTAATTTTCTTCTTAGAATTGACCCAAACTATGATAAACTTTTTAAGGTTAGACTTATCATAGACCATCTACTAAACTCTTTTGTTCCCCCACTACTAGACGAACAAATGCTTAGCACAAAATGTAGAATTAGTTTCTTTCAATATTTACCTAAGAAACTTGTTGAGTGGGTAATCAAGTTGTGGGTCCTGGAAGAAGCTGCAAGTGGATACTGTCTGAAGTTTAAAATCTACAGAGCAAAAGAGGGGCAAATGCCAGTTAAAGGTGTAGCAGACAATGTTGTGATGGACAAGTACAACAGATTATGGCACTGGGTTTTCATGGACAACTTTTACACTTCCTCTCATTTATTTGGCAAACTACTGACTATGGGAACCTGTGCTTGTGGGACATGCAGGAAAGACAGACTATATTTCCCACAGCAACTGGTTTCTACAAACCCACAGAGAGGAGAAGCACATTTTTTTTCTAATGTGGAACTCTGACAGCTGTGAAGTGGATTGACAAACGAGACATTTATGCACTTTAAATTTTACACTCTAATACCATAACTGTGACAAGAAGACGGAGGGATGCTGAGGTCACAAAACCTCAGTTAATTGTGGACTACAACAAGTTTATGGGAGGGGTGGACCTGAATGACCAACACTTAAGTTACTATTCTACTGGATAAAGGACAAAAAATGGTATAAAAACTGTTTTTTTTTACTTTTGGACTTGACAGTTGTAAATGCTTAGATTTTGTACAAACAACAAACCCATCACCCATCATTATCCCAGAAGGCCTTCAGAATGGACCTGGTCACAGCTCTTATTAAGCCTCTACTTCAAAGCAGACCAAGTCCTTCTGGTATACCACTTTCAAGAACTGTGCAGGACTCATTACCTTCGAGATTCACTCTTGGCAGGCACTTCCCAACAACTTCGATGATGAAGAAATCGTTTTGAGATTAATACTCGATGATGACAAAACCTTGTCAAAGCATTGTACATTTGCGGTTATGTTAAACGTGTATTAAAGTTTTTCTTCATTACCCATTCAAGCCATCTCCAAGCATTATTATGTTCCCAACAACTGTTGATAAAAGTCACAGGAAGAGATGCAGACGTTCCTCCCAGAAAATAAAGTAACAATCAAATGTAACTATGTAATGAATTTCTCTGTATTAAACATGATGAAGAGTATCACACTAGTGTTACTCTTCAAAGATGTTAATTCTTTATCTAAGAGTGTCTACTCTCTTCCTTTGTTTACATTTTTTTCTCTAAATATTTTGATGTTTGTATTTCAAAGTAAAACAGTGGTTACTTTTTACATTAAATTTTGATAAAAATATTTTTTAAAGTTTTGTTTTCTTAATCATAGAGTAGTGATGCTACCTTTCAAAATCTGTCAAAATCAGTTTACAATGTCTAAAATGTTTGTAGTAAAATAACTATGTAAACTTGCATTCATTGATAGTTTTTTTCCCCCCCAATGTTGATCCTTTCATGTTACTTTTATCATGTGTCAACATTGTATACATTTTATGTTAGAATCTGTATATAGCTTGATATTAATTCATACAATTTGTATGTGCATTTTTCATTTTAGAGATGTATATCATTTGTGCATACTTTTATTCTGCAGACATTTGTAAAGTATTGTTTATTCATAACATTTTAGAAAGATACCTTTATTTTTAGGTTTTCTAGCTGCTAGTGTTGTATAAGTTGCTTTTAATTTACCTCAATTTACATAATTAGAAGAAGAATACAAAATCAGTAGGCATAACTATATGGGCCTACAAAGTCAAAGTACAAATCTTTAACTGTAATAGTAGTACTTTGTTAAATATAGGGAATTTCAGCTACCATACATAACATACGTATCTATATATTGTTATTATTTATTGACAAATACTCAAATTTTTGTAATTTTTCTTAAAACCTACTAGAATAAAGAAAATATACTTAAAAAAACAACAATTTTGAGTACTTACGGTGGTTACGAGACTTTGTGCTTGAGCGTCGCACGTGCTAAGCCTCGCCGCAAGCCTTGTTTATTCTTCTGAATGGAGGGTGTAGAGTTATTAATTTTTTTACACTTCAAATATAAAAATATAATATAAAAAATATCAACTAACTATATTTGTGCACACAAAACACCTGTAATTTATTTGGGTGTCCTGTTTCTCTTCAGAGCAACAACTTAGTCATCACACTTCAACAGTTTAGGTGAAATTACGATTTTCTCCTTCAAGCTATTTACAAATGGCTATAAGACTTATGTACACAATTAACTGCTCTTTCTATTTGTTATAAATTCTTAAAAAAATAAAAGTAGGTGGGACTAGACAAGAGGTTTTGAAAGACTGGGAGTAGTAGGAGGAGCCAAACTACTAGATTGGTTAAATATACTTATGTCTAAGCAAATAAAAGAGGTAGGAGGTTCTTATTTTAAATCATAACTTGTCCATATCTCCAATTTGAGTTTCTAATTCGTTAACTACTGCATACATTGTGTGGTAGGCATAATTAATTATAAATTGAACAATAACAAAACAGAGTGTGTTGTGACATGCAAAAAATAATATTTATCATTTTTTCCTTTTAAATTAAAACATATACAACATTAAAATTTGAAATATAACCTTCATTTTGATGTGAATCCCTTTGACATAAGCAATAGCAAAGTTATTTAATAACATTTTGAAAATAGCTCTCTAAAATGTCATGACATGCACCCTTTGACCTGTCCGTAGCAAAAGGGTTAACAGCATGTATTATTGATCAATAAATGAATAGGTCTCATCAACAATTATACAGACTGCATAATCAAATTGGTATGTCATTATATTTACCTAAGTCATCATTTCATTCACAACAATGACTTGTTTATAGAACACATGTATTGCTTTCTTGTATAGAAAAACATCACATTTTAATAATGCTGATATTTCTATGCATCTACATTTTGGAGCACTGGAATGTAATATGACTGTAGCATATGATGACTTCTCCATAACCATTATAGTTCTCAGTACTCACTGCAAGTAAAGGCAAGACTCTCTAGATACTTAGGAAATGGCCTTAGTGATGGTCATTCTCAGAAAAACTACCATAAACTGTTAACTACTAAGAGTGCAGGGGTTTGTGGTCAGTAATTATCACCTCATTTCCTGTTCTGAAAGACACCTGCTTGACTCTCGTGAAGTTATGTATGGATTACTGAATCATGTATTCATGAGTGTGTGCGTTGTTTTACAAAATAGCAGTTCACATACAGAACATGAATATATGAATTATTCATTAAATTTCCTGTTGTAAAGATTTGTCTACAGGAAAAATTATCCAGATTGTGAATAATGTGGATTATTGGTGGCCAGATTAACAAATTTTCAATGTAGTTATGGTACCAGCTTGTTTACTTGACAAACTAATTTTGTATACTAACAAATAGATCAAAAAAATAACTTACAAGCTCTAATAACTTCCTTTCTTCTTCTTCTTTTCGCAAATCTTCAAAATCCACCTCTGGTTCAGCAAATGAAGACCTTTGAGAACCCTAAAGGATCACAACAACAAAAGAACCAATAAATTACTTTAAAAGTAATAGTTCTTGAATTAATATTTACATTAAAAAAATGAAAGAACAGAAAAAAAGGCTATAATGTATTGCTTTTCTCTTCTTAAGTCATTGAGAAAATACAAATGTTTAGAAGCATCACTGAAGGAGTTTTAAGTGCTTTTGAAATGTTACTTTCACATATTTGTTTCCTCAACACTAAAGATAAATATGACTGGCTGCAACATAAATGCAAGGTATAATTTTGATGGGAATAACCTTAACAGTGTCATGGAAGAAAAGTATCTTGGTGTATTGGTTGATCAGTCTTTTGAGCCATCCAAGCAATGTGCTGTTGCTAGTGGCAGGGCAAATATTAAATACAAGTCTAAAGAGGTTATAATTTCATTGTATGTATAAGTGGCGTTAGGCCATATTTGTAATATTGTGTTCAATTTTGGGCTCTTTACAATGACTTATTGGAAATGATTCAGAGGATGGCTACTATGATGATACCTAGTAGATTGTCATCATGGACAGGATAATATCTCTGAAACTTTCTACTGGGAGTGGAAGAGTTGGGGGGGGGGTCTGATTGAGATGTTTAAGATTGTCAAGGGAATTGATAGTGTTGATGCGTCATCTTTTTTAACAGTTAATGTTGAGAACAGTAGGACTAGGGGACATAAATTGGGGCGGGATAGGAGTCACCTTCAGCTAAGACATCTTTATTTATCTAACAAGGTGGTTGGCCTTTGAATGGGTTGCTTTCAGTGTGGTGGATGAAGTTAATTTAAGGGAGTAACTCTCTCAATACAGGTAGATCAAAGTTTGCATGTCAGGACTTTTTATTGTGATACATTCAAGATTTAATGAAATTACTTTATTTTCAACATATAGAAATAAATTTGGCATCAAAACGTATATAACACTAAAATTTCATTTATTAATTAAGTTTTAAGTTCTTAATTTTATGTGGAAATATTTAAAAATCCTCAATCTCCCCTAGTATGAGAATCGAGACATTTGTTCTCTAGGTCTTACCTCTTCTCTAATGTATTTACGACCCCTCTGAGAAGTACTAAATTTAACATTAATTACTCATTATAAGATAGATAGTATGAAGGCAAATTCTAATTTTTATAGTTTTCAATTTCAATTTCTTTACAGAGTCAGAAACTAGAAAATCAGACTCACTTGCCACATCCACCTTTCACAAATTGCCAATAATTCTTTGACATTTTCTACTATATCATTTATAGCCAATAAAGAAAGTCTATCAAATGAAATATAATGCTACATTGGTTTTGGTACAGAGTATTGTGAATTTCATCTTCACTTTGAAAGTTTATCTTGTGTTGAGATCGAGCAGAAAAGGTAATAAATTTAAGCCCCTCTAGTCCTATTTACAAAGCCAGTTAAATAATAGTAGTTATAGAACATTGTCTGTTCTTAGGTGTATTATTTAAGTAAATAAAAATATAGTGTACTAGTAATCATTATAAAAAAAAAGTAGGCTTAAATTTCTTCTGCAACCAACAGCAAAACAACAACAGGTCAGAGCTAAGTGATATACTTCTTGTTTTTTTTAATGTATATTTTTATTTATGGTTATAAAAGTAAGTAAAATGTAAAAATTTGAAACTTACTAGGGTAGATAAGGTGGGATAATGAAAAATAATGATAATAAAATTTTCTTCATGAGGCATATTTGCAAGCAGCTTTTGAGTTACCTCGTTCAACATGGTAATGTAAGCTACACATTCACTAAGTAAGTGATTTACAACTTGTGTGGTAGGATTATTAGTTAGACATAGTTCATAGAGAAATAAAATAAAGTATAAACAGATGAATACAGATCCTTAAGGATAAAACAATTGTAGTTTTCGGTTACCATCTGCAGTCCTTTTAGAAAGAAAGAAAATGGGTAATTTTGATCTATTTTGTATGGTGGTCATAAGGTCAGTCAAATTCACCATGTCCATATAGAGTAGAGAAAATAACCAATAAAATGTAAATTTTCACTGAAAAAAAAAAAGTTTGATGTTTATTTGGGAAGTTTTAGAGGTTATAAATAAATTTAATTAATTAATTTACATAAATTAATTTAAATAAAAATGAAGAAAAGTATTTTTAATCTTAACATGAAAATCACTTTGCACTCTGAGCACTCAAACTGATTCCATATATTCACGAACAAATCTTTACTAAAATTATGTCTGCAGACTTACAACACTAGAAACCTGGTTTCGATAGCCGTGGTGGGCAGAGCACAGATAGCCCATTGTGTAGCTTTGTGTGTAACTTCAAACAAACAAACAAACAGATACTAAAATCAAATTTTTTGTGTACAAAAGATTTGGATGTTTAGTGAAAGCTTGCCAAATTTCATGAAGATACATTAAAATTCATAATATGTAACCTCTGATGGTTACAAGGTTGGTCACATTGACTGGCCTCAAATGGAAAGAGTTAAATGAAGGCTTGATGAATACTTGAATGATAAGGGCTGGTTTTGAGTTTATTTTAATTTTAATGTTTGGTTTGGTGGATGAGACAGCATAGGTGAATAAAAAATTATTGTTCTTCTTAAATTATACATACATCTAGACACACAGACACAGAAACATATACATAAGTGAGATAAGCAAATGGCTTGATGTAGGATAAAGATGTGACTGAGAAGAATAAAGATGTGACTACATATAGTTTGATACAAATAAGCTGAAACTTACTACGTTGAGTCAATCTTACATTATCATGGAAATTAGTTGTTTTAAAAATGTCACAAGCAGAAGAAGAGAGAGAGAATAATATTTGAACTAATTAACATAGAAGTAGTAAAATATAAAAACTTATTCATTCAATCAAATATTTGGGATGTCGATGTAAAATTTACTGAAGATTGCATTTGTATAAACTATATTGTACATAGATATATTTTACAATATAAAATTATTTCCCAACATGTTTCTTATAAAAACAGAACAAAAAAAAAACTTAAGATTTACCTACCGGTTCCATAGATACTTCAATTTTGTCTAATTCTTCAATAGCCTGAAATTTTAAAACAAATCCAAATTAAAAGAAAAAAAGAATATTTTTCTAAACTAGTAAGTAGAACTGATCAATAATGTTCTTCCCAGGATGTTTAGTCTGTAATCCCATGTTTAGCCTGTACTCCCAAGTTTAGTCTGTAATCCATTATAAAGCTTATTTCAAATCTTTAAAATTTTTCCACAATAGAAACATAGAATTGTTCATATCTGTTCCACACATCTTTAAGATCAAAACCACAAAAGTCAGACACAGATACAGACAAAACCAAATAATTCAATATCATAAACTTAAAATAATAAGCACAGGAAAGTTCTTTAATTGTTTTTGATATATAAATGACAAATACTGTAACTTCATATTTAAATTGTGGGCTAACTAAAACTAATCCATGGAAATAAGAGACTTAGGAATTAAAAAACAAACACATCATGACTTACAAGCCCTACAGCCGCCATTACATCTCTGTCTTTCTCACTGGTCATTAGCCTACTCACACATGACTCTAGTTCTTGAAGTAGAGGGCAATCTACAGGAAGCATTACGAGAGATTTTAACTGGGGAAAAACCGAGCACAGTCGCAGTCGAATGTTTGGAACTGGATCACCTGGTAAACATACGGCAATGTGTTAAAAATATCACACACTAGCTATAGGAAGTCCATGTAGCTTCAATAAAAGACTTTTAAATGATTTAAACAGATATCAGACAATGACATCCAATGATATAACGTACTTTTCTAAAAGTGAAGGGACTCTATACAAATTGCAATTTGTCTTTATGAAACATCTATGTCTCCACTATACTGTATATTTTAAACCCCTCCCCAATTTGACCTTTTACCAATGACCTTCAAAAGTTAATCAGGTCTAGAACTTATTCAATACCCACTACAAGAGTTGTTATCAAATAAATATATTACTAGGTGATATATTGTGCTTTACTAAACATTAAAGTATAGAATGCTCCATACATACATTGTTAGGTTATCAAATAATGATACAAGGTGATATCATGTGCTTTACTAAAACATCAATGGATATAATGCTCTATACATATATTGTAATGTTATCAAATAAAGATGTTGCTAAGTGATATCAGTAAGTTCATTAAATCATAAAGAAATGATCCAGGCCAAATAGTTACCCAATGGTTTTGAAAAAGGTTAAGGATTGGATATGTGAGCTACTTGGTATTATTTTTCCTTGAACAGTGGGCAGGTGCCAGAAGATTGGAAGTTAAGTAATGTTGCTCCTTTTTCCACGGGAAATGATAAAAATTGTCCCAGTAATTATAGGCTTACATAATTCTAGTAATTATAAGCCTATTAATGTTACAACAGTGGTGGGAAGTGTTTGAAAGCCTGATTAAAAGTTGCTTTGCAAAATCATTTAACAAAGTTTAAAATTTTGTTGGATAGTCAGCATGGTTTCACTAAGGGAAAAACATGACTTACTAATCTTTTGACATTCTTTGAAGAGGTTACTGATTATAAAGATGAGGGTACAGGTGTGGATGTGGTGTATCTTGATTTTCAGAAAGCATTTAACAAGGTGCCACATAAAAAGGTATTTCTGTAGGTGTTGGAGATAAGTTGGTTCATTAGATATAATACTGGCTATACAGAAGAAAGCAGAGGGTTGTTATAAATGAAGTTCAGATAAACTGGATTATTGTTATGAGTGGGATACCTCAGGGCTCAGTGTTAGGATCTTTGCTCTATTTGGTTTACATCAATGACATAGATGAAGGAATGGTCAATAGATTATTTAAATTTGCTGATGACATGTAAAGTTTTTGGTGTTGTTGGCTGTGAGGATGATGCTACTGCTTTACAAAAGGATTTGAATTATTCAGCGAGTTGGGCAAATAAATGGTATATGATTTAATAAAAAACACAAGGTAATGCATGTGGGATATCACAATTTGAATTATGCATGTAATTTGTCATTGAAATAATCTTCTTAACAGTGTAATAGAAGAAAAAGATCTTGGTGTTCTGGTTGATCAGTCTCTTAATCCATCCAAACAGTGTGCTGTTGCTCGTGGCAGAGTAAATGAGATTCTAGGTTATATGTACAGAAACATTGAATACAAGTCTAAAGAGGTTATAATGTCATTGTATAGGTCAATGGTTAGGCCACGTTCAGAGTAGTGTTCAAGTCTGGGGCTTCTTACCTCAGAAAAGATATTGAATTGTTGGAAAGACTTCAGAGGAGAGCTACTAGGATGATACCTGGGATGGAAAAAGTTATCATAAGAGGATAGGTTAAGAGCTATGAACTTCTCTTCCTCTTGGAAAAAGAAGAGTTAAAGGATTTGAGTGTTGATACATCATCTTTTTTTCTTCATATTTAATGGTGACAATGGTAAAACTAGATGATGCAAATATAACTTTTGGAAAGGAAGGAGTCATCTTCAGCTAAGACAGCTTTATTGTTGGCCTCTGGAACGTGTTGTCTTTGGATGTGGTGAATGTAGTTAATTTATGGAAGTTCGAGGAAAAGATTGATAAATATTTGAATGACAAAACATTTCAAAGCCAGACCTCCCTTTTTTAATTTAGGGGATAAGACAACCTATATGAACCAAGAGGTCCTTTGCTGTCCTTTAATGTTATGCCATATATACAGAATTACCAAAATTTCTGTTTATGAAATGTTTTACTCATGTGAGTAAACTGTATTCTGATCATATACCTTACATGAGTCACTAACATGCCAAGATCAAAAGATCTGTTTTCTAACAAATAAAAGATGTTTCTTTTCATGTTTTGCATGATCTAGCTACAGTGTACAAGAAGTGCAAACTTCTTTTGATCAACTTTACAAAATATACATAAAATCACTTTTTCAAACAAATCTTATCTTTAGCTACATAAAGTCAAAAGAATTAAAATAACTATTATAGTTAACAAAAGAGAGGTAGCCAATACTTGTAAGAGTTTCAATAACGGCCAGATAAATGCAGTTTCAAAAAGTTTCTAAAACTTGTGCAAGATTCAGTTATTGTAAGTGTTTACATACTAGCCTCAACCATGGCTAGTAGAAGGTTCTGCAATAATTATAAGAAGGTACATACATGCTAGCCCTAATAACGATCGGAAGAAATACTGTTTGAAGAAGGTTTTGGAAAAGAGATCCATGACTAGTTGACACACTGATATATACAACATCCTGTTGTGGCAGCTTCTTCCATGACAAAGATCTTAAAAAAAAAGAAAAAAGAGTCAAACAATAAAGGAATAAATTGACAAACACTAAAAATTACCAAATATATGACACAAATACAAAACTTCTTAACCCAGGCAAACTGATGAAAAAGTGTATATCTTTTGAAAGGGATCAGGTTATAGGGTTTTTATATTGTTTGCCTTAAGTTGAATTTTTAAACGTGTGTGTTTTATTAACATAATGAGTACAAAATAAATGTTCTCTTGGTTATAAAAGAATATTTTGTCCAAGACTGGCACACAGCAATTCATGTATTAGGTCGTCATGAAATTAATGTCACTTTTCTTTAGATGAAAAAAAAAACCAGAACAACTTGTACATCAGAACAGTAGTTTACAGAGACATGTATATATATGTAAACAAAAAGTTCACATGACCGGAGATTGCATCACAGCCTAGTATAGGTATCTTGGTACTCCAGGGTGTTTATTTAGAGTGGGACTGTTTCGTTCCATTAAGATAGCTTCTATTATTTTGCATCTATTGATGTTTGGTTCTTTGTTTAAAATTACAGTGTTTTGTATAGATATACTTTGATTTTTTGAGTTGCAATGATATTAAACATTGGAGGTTTTTTTTTTTTAAATTATTGTATTTAGTGAATCTGGTTTCCAATTTTTTTTCCAGTTTCTCTGGTGTACAATTCTGGACAGTTGATGCACATTATCTTATAAGTGATGTGGGTATTGTGTAATTTTATATGATTTGTATTTAATAAGGATTTTCGTTTAGGGCCGGGTATATGTGTGAATTTGAAGTCAACACGAATTTTATGTTTAATGGCAAATTTTCTCCAAGTGTTAATTATTTTTGAGCTGATGTCAGGGGTAAATGGTAAACTGCAGTGTAATGTATTGTTGTTTGGTGTATTAGTGTCAATTTTGTTTACGAGTTGATCGGAAATGTTTCGACAACGGTCAGTGGAAGTTTGTTGGTGTGAATGAAGAAATACATAGATGACGAAAGCAATTTTTCTGATTCGTAAACAAGAAAATCTCTCCACGCTGTTTCCTGTAACTATGAGAGTGCTGGCTGTTCCCAATTCTAGTTCCCCCATCAAACAAGTGTTCAGAAATGGAGGCAGCATTATGCACCCTCATAGAGCTAAGCTTAGTGACAAAATGCTGTCTCAGCTGAAATTCCTAAAGTGTAAGAATTTGTACAGATAAATTATGTTCTGACTGCCTTCTTCTAGTCAGCAATATCACACACTTTGATGCTGATATTAAGTATGCGTAACAAATAGTCTCTGAACTTGCCTGTGCAATCAACACCACTAGAGGTTAATGTGCAAGACTAAATGTGCAGTCAGTGAATAATGTGTTGACATCACTCTCTAGAGGAATCCAAATAAAGTATACAGATGTGTGCATGCAGTGTTCATGAAGCAAAAAAGAAAGTCCCCAAAAAAATGTGAAAATATAGAGATTGCTCTGTTTTTGATACTTAACTAGTTTGAACTGTTGATGTTTTTGCAGAGTGTGTATGCAAGTAAAAACATACTAGGCAAACGTCAAGTGGCATGGATTGTAGGCACATCAGAGATACATATTATGATGTGCCAAACTCCAAGAAAACTGAGAAAGAAAATATATGAGTTGACAGCATGTCCCAATGCTAATGTGACACCTTACAGATATATAAGAAATAGCCAATAGGAATCCAGGAACAGTAGTTACAGTTTTGGTTCCTTTTAAGAAAATATTAACAACCAATCAAAAGCCAAGAAATACAATGTTTGGTTAGGGTTTTGGTTCCATCTAGAATGACACCAACATCTTGTTAAGTATAAAAAGCCATAGCTTAAAGAAGGAGCAGTCGACTAGAAGAAGAAGAAAGCCTTTCTGTTCTTCAGTGAATCCTCCGAGATGTCAGCCTTAGCATCTGGAGAACCTTCACCACTAAGTGCCTTCGTTATTTCATCTAGTAAAGTATCTATTATACAGTACATCATGACAGGGGGTCTACTAAAAGTTAAACTAGTTAATGATTTACCAAGTATCACGAAGATGTTAATAAGTATAGTAGAGGAATTGTTTACGAGACATCCAAATGGTAGAGAGAGCAATGTGAAAGTATATATTGTTGGAATTTTTTCAATTAAATGTTTTTATGTTACCTGGTCTCAGAGTTGTTTCTTCTTTACATACATTTCCTCTAACTGGTGGCTTGTGAGACTTACCCAAAACTGCCTATAACAAAATATCTTGGTAATAAAGAAATTCATTTGTAACAAATGTAGATCGAACACAACAACAAGAGAGCATGTTACCTATAAGTCAGTGTTGCAGTTAAAGAAATCACTAAATAAAACAAAGAAAAACTTAATACTGACTAAATACCTGCTGTTAATCGATCAATGATGGATAAGCGTCGATCAAGCAATGGAATGTTTCTTACCAGCACCAACAATGTGTAAGCTGCAGCCAAACGACAAGGTATGGGTCTCTAATGGTTGAGAATAGAACAAATATATTAGTTGTGGATTATGCAAAGTCACAAAAAAACAAAAAAAAAGTATCTAACACTGTTTAACCCTTTCGAGATGGGTCACGGGTGAAAGGCCATGTCATCTCATTTGTTAACTCGCATTTAAAATTCTATTAAACTACTGTTTCATGAATTTATGTTAATAACTTTGGTATCAAACTGTAGATTATAATTCAAATTTTAGTACTATACATTACTCAATTTCTTAATTTAAAAGTAAATATTAAAAACAGATAAACATCAATTTGTGTGTGTCATGTGGTATGTTTAATGCAGCAATGGTTCAAATTAGATGCTTGTGAAGTCAAAGTACTAAGTCTATAGTTTCTTACGAATTAGAAACTCAAATTACCAATATTGACAAGCTAGAATATAAAATAAGAATGTCTTATCTTTCCTATTTGCTAAGATATTGCTCATGTAAAAAAATCTAACACAGTGGCACCCCGCCCACTTCTTTTCAGTTTTGGAAATGCTCCCTTATATACACTTACTTCTATATATGACATGAATATCCAATCGAAAAGTCAGATTGTCTCCCTAGTGGCTTTCTCAGCCATTTTAATGGGCTTGGATGCCATTTCTTTATTTTGAACCAATATTTCAAAGAGGTAGGGTGTGTCTTTAGTCTGCTTGAAATTTTATATTTTTTTAGATTAAAATACATCTTAGTTACTAAGCTTGATAAATTATAGTAGAATTCTATGGTATTGATGTAGTAATTTAGGATTTTTGAGTTATACAAAAGTATATATAAAA